AGAATAATAATCCCTATTTCTGAGTTGGAATGAGGACTGAATAAGCTCATCATGTACAAAGAGTTTGCACCAAGGAAATGTCCTTAGGCTGGGATATACAAGAGACACCAGAGCCCTGTTTAAACTCCAGTTCCCAGACCAGCACTGATCCTTGGGGACAGAAGCCGAAGCCACCTCCTTCCCTGTGACACTAGGGGGCTGAGAGCTGGACTCAGGAATCGTGCTAGGTGTGGCGTGCTCTCCTGGCTTCTCCCTCCAGGGCTGTCCAGGCTGTGCCCAGAGAGAACAGGCCACAGCTGCAGGAGCTGGGGCTGGGAAGGGGCCTGTGATTGGCACTGGCAGCTCCTGTAGCCCTCACTGATGCTGCGGGACTTAATGCTGGCAGGTCCAGTGTTGCTACTTAGTGTGCAGTCTCCATCATTTCTGTCATTGGAGCCTGTGGCTTTTTTTTCCCCCGCTGGAGATTTTATTTGGGAATTGAGGAAGGGGAACAGTGTTGGGGAATTGGGGAAGGGGAACAGCCAAGTTGTTGTCCTTCAATCTTAGTTGTGGAGGGCGCAGCTAGGTCACCTCCCAAGTCCAGGTGCCATCCGGGTGCCCATTGGCAGTTCTGCAGCTCAACCCACTCAGCGGAAGTTGCTGAGTGAAATCTTAGGTGGAGGTGGGCGAGGCCACCATTCCATGTGGGAGTCAAACTGGGCACCTTGTTGTTAGGAGCACGTGTTCTCACCAGCTGAATAATCCTGCCACCTGTTGGCAGCTCTGCGGCAGCTCATCTCTGGAGCAGCTCAGTGGCCCATGTGGGAATTGAACTGGCTACCCTGTTGCTCAGAGCTCGCACTCTTAACCAACAGAGCCACTCGGCTGGCCCAAGCCTGTGGCTTTTGTCTTCAAAGCTCCTCACATGCACAGGCTCCTGACTTGCTTCCAGAATGTCACTGGTGTTTTCAGCAGGGACAGGTGGCTCTGACTCCCTGTTTCCGCTGTAGACCCCACACATCTCACGGCTGGCTCTTCTTTCCACTCCAGGTTTTCATCTGAGCCTCTGGGGCCCCTGAGCCCACCCTGAGGGGAGAAAGCACAAGAACTTCATCACTGGAGGCCAGATCCTCCCTCCCTAATCCAGAGTCCGCCTCCAGTTTCTTTCAAGTTCCTCCTCCTCTACCTTTCCCTCTCAGGAGAATAAAATGTCATGCAAGCTTTTAACACAGTTTCTTTTCTTTTGGTGGATTTGAGAGGAGGGGCTCAGAGGCATGTTTGGGGTCTCATGCATTCATTCAGGAAATGTTTATTCTAGGTCCCCCCCCTTTTCTGGATGCCAGGGACCTAGTGGTGAACAAGACAACCATAGGCGCTCTCACACATGTTTGAGCATGCACTAGAGCCACATGTTACTACAGAGGCTGGGGTACACAGCAAGTACACACCCAGATGCTCTCAGAATGGTTGGAGCAATCAGCATGGTTACTGTTAGAGTTCTTGTGGTCACAAGGAACAGAAACCCATCCTTGTGCTTCTCTTGGCAGCCAGCCTTCTTTTGCTGTTTTGCGTGAGTGTATTATTTAGGATTCTTTTGGTTTCAAGTAACTTCTGTCTTAGCTCACTTTAGCATAAATAAAAAAGGTAATTTATGGGCTCAAATAATTAACCAGTCCACACATAGCTTCAGGCACAGAATGATCCAGAAATTGGTGGTGTCCCTAGAGCTCTAGTCCTTTTTCTGCTATTCTCTCATTTCTTCCCACCTCCATATACTGAAAGTGACCTCCGACTAGCTTCCTTCTTGCCAGCAGAAATGGCTGCCTCAGGTCAAAACTTTACATCTATACAGTAGGTCATCAGGAGGGAAAGAGAGTTCTTTGGTAGATTCTCTTCCAGTAGCTGCCTTGGAAAAGAAAAGAAGCTTCTTTCCTAGAAACCCCATCAGATTTTTCCTCAGTTCTCATTGGCCTGAATGGGTCAGGTGCTCTCTTCAACCAATCACTAGGTCCAGGGGCATGGGATACACTGATTAGCATAAGACAAAAAGGGCATAGTCTCGGGTCTGAGGTGGGGTCCATGTCACCGTAATCATTTAGTTGAGGATGGACATGAAAACCTGGGAAGAGCTTGTTGCTGGAAGAGGGGAAAAATAGATGCTGGCGACCACAAGGAGCAATGGTGTATCACTCAGGGTTCAATCAAAAAACAGTTCAAAGGGACTCCCAATGGTAAAATCTGTGACAATCTGAACATCAAAATAGTAATGACAATAACAGATTATTATCTGTTGAGTAAATTGGACTCCATGAATTTATGTAGATATAAATAATGAATTAATAAGTAAGTAAAGGGAAAGAGAAAGTATTACCTTACAGTAGAATGCCAACTCGTAAATGTAGACATAGTGGCAAAGTACATCCTCCCAAAATACTTACTCATATGACATTAATTAATAAATTCCATTATTAGTTTACTTGACAGTGGAGAAAACTGGCAGACAGGTGATGAAAGTTAATATCACTACTAATGGGACAAATCTGCACCATGTGTCTTATGATATAATTCACTGAGAGAAACATAAGAATACTTCTCTGCTGTTTCTGCTAAAAATGCATAAATCACAAGCAAACATCAAACCCAAACTGACATTCTACATAGTGGCTGGCCTGTACTCTTTAAAAATGCCAAGGTCACAAAAGACAAGGAAAGATTGAAGAACTATTCCAGATCAAAGGAAACTAAAGAAGTACATTGATGCAATTGCAACACAGGGTCCTGGTTTGGATGTATGTTAAGTATCTTTGAGTCAGTTCCAACTCCTGGTGACATTATGAATAAGTGACACCCACAATGTCCTGTCCCCCACAGCCCTGCTCAGCTCCTCCAGGAACTCTGAGGGCTTTCTGACCCGGGAGACTCATCTTTCAGCACTATCTCATATTTCATTTTGGGCTGTCTCATCATGGAGTTTTCAAGGCAAAGTGAAAAGAAAAAAGAGAAAATCGAAAGCACACATCCTTGGGTCTGCTGGTGTCACAATCATTGAACGCCTAAGGTACATAGGCACACCTGTCTGTGGGTTTAGATACGGATCTATAAAGACCATTATTGGGGGGCACTCTATGAAATATGACTGGAGTCAATGATGGTCATATTGTGTCAATGTTAACTTTCTGATATTGATGGTCATACTAGCTTTACATGAGTGTCCTTGTAAGGAAACACACTCAAGTATTAAGAGAGTAATGGGGCATCATGTCTGAAATTTACTGTCAAGTGATTGAGAAGAAATGGTAATATGCACATATAGAAAGACTATGATAAGGCACAGGCCACATACATGTGGTAAAATGTTAACAGTGGGGGAATCTGGTTAAGGCACACAGGAGCTCTTTGTACTTGTCTTGCTACTTTTCTCTAAATTTGAAATTATTTTAAGATAAATGATTTATAGTAATTTGACTTCAGCAAATGGATAGATGGTGGTGGCATGGATATGGATAGAGGTGAATTTGAGTACTCCAGACACCTTATATAAATGGAATCATGCAGTATGAGGTCTGACAATTAAGTTTGTGAACTTACTGCCGTGTGCTTACATTGGCAGCACTGTAGAAAAAGCTCGGTAAGGTTTCATAACCTCAGTATATCAGTGTCTCACAGCTGTGTTCATGTCAACGTGTGGTGGTGTCTTGCTGAGTGGTGTTCATTATTGTTGTTGCATGTTTTTGTGTGCCGTCCCGAGAATATCTGAACTTGAATTATAGCAATGAACAAACATTAAATTTCTTGTTAAACTTGGCAAGAGTGGAAGTGAAATCAGGGACATGTTAGTCCAAGTTTATGGGGATAATGCTATGAAGAAAACAGTAGTGGTACAAATGGATTAAATGTTTTTCTGAGGGGAGAGAACGTGCCACTGATGAAGAGAGGTCAGGGAGGCCAGCAGAACCGACGGAAACATTGCAAATATTCTTTGAATTGTGCATCAAAATCGTCAGCTGACTGTGAGAAGCATAGCAGACCAAGTCAACATTGATAGAGAAACAGGAAAATCTTAACTGAAAATCTTGGCAGAGAAAGGTGTGTGCAAAAATGGTCCCGAAGGAGCTCACCAATGAACAAAAGCAGAGGAGAGTTGAAGTTTGCTAAGACCTTTTTGAGAGGCAAGATGATGTTTATCATCTTGCCGTGTTATCACTGGTGATGAAACATGGGTGTACCAATATGACCCTGAAACAAAGCGTCAAAGTGAACAATGGAAGTCAACCAATTCTCCACGACTAAAAAAGTTCCATCCGTCCAAATCAAGAGTCAAATCGATGTTCCTAAACTTTTTTGATATCAGAGGGATAATTCATTATGAACTTGTACCAACTGGACAAACAGTTAACCAAGTTTACTATTTGGAAGTGCTGAAAAGGCTGCGTGAAAAAGTTAGATGAAAATGATCTGAATTTTTTGCAAACAATTTAGGGCTTTTGCATCAGGACAATGCACCAACTCACATGGCACTGTCTGTGAGGGAGTTTTTAGCCAGTAAATAACTGTATTGGAACACTCTTCCTACTCACCTGGTCTGGCCCCCAATGACTTTTTTTCTTTACCTGAAGATAAAGGAAATATTGAAAGGAAGACATTTTGATGACATTTAGGACATCAAGGGTAATATAATGACAGCTCTGATGGCCATTCCAGAAAAAGAGTTCCAGAATTGCTTTGAAGTGCGAACGAGGTGCTGGTATTGTTGCATAGCTTCGCAAGGGGCATACTTCACAGGTGACCATAGTGATATTCAGCAATGAGTTATGTTGCAATTTTTCTTTTTTTTTTTTAAAGATTTTTTTTTTAAATTGGGGAGTTGGGGGATGGGAACAGTGCTGGGGAATTGGGGGAAGGGGAACAGACAAGTTGCTGTCCTTTTTGTTCTTTGGTCTAGTTGTGGAGGATGTTGCTTCACTGGCCCAACTTGGCACCATCATTGCGCTCTTCCTGGGAGAGGCAGATCAGTTGCTGGCTTCTGGACGGCCGCTCACTGCAGCTGCTGGCCGCTCACGCTGGCTGCTGGCTACATACAGTAGCCCATGGCAACCCACTGCCACAGGGGCTGCAGCCTATGCCATTGCCGGCGACCCACGGCAGCCCAGCTCCAGGTCAAGCTGTTGTTCAGCATCTTAGCTGTGGAGGGCAGTGTCACTGGCCCTCATATGTGGGATCCGAACCGGGGCCCTCTGGCGTCCCAAGCCAGTTCTTAACCAATGTGCCACTCGGCCGGCCTGAGGCACAAAACTCACCCCACAAGCCTGCCTTACATGTCTGCCTTAGAGGCCGTGATTTCGTCTATTGTCCTCCTGAGGACCAGAGTCTCGCTGTCTCCTCAGAGTCATCATTGAATGCCCTTCCCTCGCTGGATGCCCAGGTCATTCCCACCTAAGGAGATGCTTTGGTTGGGAGTGGGGATGATGTTTAGGGAGAGCACTACAGGTGCCCCTAAAAGTCAGGCAGTGGCTCCCACTGTGGCTCCACCCAGTACTGCAGGCTGAGTGCTGGGGCAGAGGCCAAGGGTGGGGAAGGCGTGGACCCCAGGCTAGTGGGACCCCAGGTGAAGGGGTGGGGTGAGAGTGTGGCTGGTAGGGATTTAAGGCTTAGTCAGCTTCTTTGAAGGTGATTCTGAAACAGTCCAATGTAGTACAGGGAATGGAGATACATTTTACAGTCAAAATATTTTATGGAAACCACATGACAAATTTTATACATTTAGTTCTACTAATTAATCAAGATGATTAATATTCATTATAATAATAAATATTTAAATATTAATAAAATATTGTTATATAAACAGAACTTGTATTAATAATAATAATTAAGGAAGTTACTGTGTTCAATAACACCTTTAGATGAATTTATAGTTTATTCACAATAGCATGTACGTATCTTTAAAAGATGTTTGACTTGTAGGTTAAGATGTTACTCATCTATTTCTGGTTGCCTACCCCTGGGAAAGAACCCCTTGCCATGCAGCTGGCTGCCTTCATGGCCTTGGGACCAGCCAAATCTGACTGGTCCAGGGAGGAGTCCATCCATATGGGTGGAGCCTAACTGTGGCCTGGGGCACAGTGGTGTGCTGGGCCAATAAGAGGCCTTGCTCTGGAATTGGAATTAAAAGACCCAGAGGGAGGAGAAGGCTGATAGTTACAGTCT